CGCCGAATGGGCCTGCCCCGGCTTCTGTTAGCCGGTTTATTGCCGTTGGCGGGGTCCCGGGGGAAGGCCTTCTCTGTAGCTGCCCCGGCCCTATGGAACGATCTCCCCGTAGAGATCCGGACCCTCACCACTCTTCCGGCCTTCCGTAAAGCCACTAAGACCTGGCTGTTCCGGCAGGCCTGGGGCTGTTGATTAGTATCCAGCCCCACTCTAAGCTGTATGCATGTTGTTGATATTTTTTAATACTTGTATCCTTATTTTAAATTTTTTAATATATGTTTTGTCTTGTCTGTAAGTCCCAAGGGAGTGGGCGGCATACAAATGTTAATAAATCTAAATCTAAATCTATGTTAAGTGGACATCCTGTGTTGGACCAAAAAACCTTGCAAGAGTCAGGAATTGCGATGCTGAGAAGCGTTTATTAAAAAGAGGGCGGGGAGGAATGGGATATCCTTAACATAACAAAACCATATAGATACACAAAAGACCACCGTGGAGTTTACAAAAGCTTGAAAGAGTCATAGGAAATAAATTACCCCCCCCTTCCCTTTCCAAGAGGCGAGAAAGAAAACCACTTGAAATTCAGAGTCCTTCCCAGGTTGGGCCCTGAGTGCTTTTATCCTGAAGAGGCTGTCCATAAGTCCTGTCCTGTTTCCGTGTCATGGTGGCATATAATCCTACCCTGCTTTGGTTCAGCAAGGATATTTACAGATGCTGGGTTTACATCTTGGCCGGCAGATCCCCCCGAGACCGCCACCGCCACCAAGATATCCTCCGGAGCCAGAGGCACAGGCGCTGTAGCCTCCCACAGCAACAGGCTCACAGCTGGCGGAAAGGATGGGCCCCGGTAGGATGACCACAACTGGCGGAGGCTGGATCACAACTTCAGAAGCTGGAATCTGGGTCACACATCCCACGCTGGCTCCTGGGAGAAGACCAAGGCTGCTGGCTGAAGCGGCGCCGCCGCCACCATAACCGAGTCCTGAGCCAATCCCGCAGGAGCCGAGCCCAATCTTTGGAACAGAGGCACAAGAAGGAATGGCACAGGATGGTGGGCAAGGAGGTGGGCAAGGAGGTGGGCAGCAAGACATGTTGGATGGCAGGAGTGAACCTGGAGAGGATGGAGAAAAACACATCAGTTAGCATCGAGACGTTGAGTCATTCGTGCTGGCCATTAGATTGAGGTTGATGTAATAGGGGGAAAGAAGGATACGGGTCAACCCAGGGAGCTTCCTCCTTCTTGGAGAACCGTGAAAAATAATTTTAAAACAAAAAAAAAGGAATTAATGAGCTCAGATTGCCCCAAAGCTGTGCCAGACAAATATTTCCAGGAGGAGNAAAAAATTAAAGGTGGGGAGCATACAGGTAGTCAACACTTCTTGACCAGTCATTCAGTGACCCTTTGGAATTACAGTGATGCTGAAAAAGGAGACTTGCGAAGTTTTGGCTTTCATAGCACCCCCATGATCATGTGATCTTGATTTGGGTGCTTGACAACTGACTCTCACTTAACAATACTTGCAGCATGTATGTTTTGCCATTTGCAACCTTTCCTGTCAGCTTCCCATAAGTAAAATCAATAGGGAAGCTGGTAGGGAAAGTTGCAAGTCATTTTGGCAAGTCCCTCACATCCTCCATTACCTGGCAGCAGCCATCTTTGCCCCTATCACACTCGCACTGGGTCTTATGTTCTGGCTTGCTTGTAACCCATCGGGGACTCACTTAGTGAGCCACAATCCTGGCTTAATAATGGCAATGGGGAGTATCAGAATTGCCATCACTAAGTGATGTGGTCATGAGATGTGCTTTGTAACCACCTTGTTTAGTGATGGAAATTCTGGTTCCATTTTCCATGTTTAACTGAGAACTTCCTGTAGGTGTCTCCAGGGGATGCTGTTCCAAAGGGCAGATACCATGATAGAAAAGGCCTAGGTCCATGATGGTGAACCTATGTCACGCATGCCCGAAGTGGCACACAGAGCCATTTTGCTTGGCATGTGCAATGTCGGCCATTCCTCTTCCAGGTTTCTGGCGCGCATGTGACGATCAGCTGGCCTTTGTGCGTGTGTCAGTGCCGGAAACTGGAAGAGGTATTCCATTTTCTGGTGCGAGCATGCGCACTGGCGAGGTGATCAGTGTGTGCGCATGCGCAGCAGTAACCGGAAGACTTGCCAGCCAGCGCGCATGTGCATGCCAGAAACCAGAAGTTAATTTTTTGGGGCACACATGGCCCAAAAATGGGGCAAGTCTTCTTCCTGATCGTGGCCCAGTCAAGCATGCACACAAAGTATTCCCTTTTCAGCACAAGGTGCTGAAAAGGTTTGCCCTCACTGGCCTAGGTTCTGTCAGATTACATTCTTTGATTGTAGGGACCCATTTCAGATGCACTGTGTCTGATTGTTCATGGTGGACAGAAACTATCAGAGATAAGCAGTCCCGCAGATAACCAGGCCCTATGACATGAAAGCTTTATAGCTGAGAAGCATCCCCTTCAATCGCACTTGGAAGCTAACTGGCAAACAATGCCACTTGCAGCTCAGTAGCGCTAGACTATGCCATCACATTCTGTATTAGTTGCAGCTTCTGTAGTGTCCACTGCAGTGGTCCACTAATGGGGTGACGAGGGCATGACTGACTATTTGGAGGGCACACCAGATAGATTGTGGCAAAGGTCCTCCTCAT